TAATCTACTGCATGCTTTCACCCAAACAGAAATTGCGACAGGATTTTCTTATTCACAGACTAGAAGAGGAAAGGGATCTTCTGCTGCTCCCCAGCTGCCAGCAGAGCATCTTGCCCCCCTGGCACTGCTGCCTTCTGAGCCATCCCCACCCCACCACGTACCACCTGGACGAGCAGGTCCCCTTCATACAGCTGCAGCCAGTACCGCAGCTTCTGCAGAACTCGGTCCACGGGCTCACGGGAGCCGTTTGTGCAGGGGTAGGGGGTGAGTGGCATGGTGAGATTTACGCTGAGATTGTGGTGCTGGAGCAGCCAGGACAACGTGGGGGGACCCACAATTGCTGCAGGGAGGGGAAAAAAAAAAAAAAAAGAAAAGAAAAGAAAAGAAATAGGAGGAAGAAAATTAAGCCCTCCAAAACAGGAGGCAGATACCCTGGTTTTCTATAAATTATGTTCTACTGGACATCCCACCCCTAGTGCAGAGAAACCTGATGCGAGCCTGGTGGCACTTTGTGCTGTGAAACCAGCTCTGGTAAAATCAGCCACCACATCTTTGTGACAGCCAGAACTGCTCTTCTTCTCCAGTCACACCAACACAGGCTAGGACAGACATCATAGCACCTGCTGCTCCCCACTGCTGAGCACTTCATCCCTGAGCCACCAGATAACAGTTTAGAGGCTGGCTGTGGAGCACAGCAGTTGCTCTTTCAGCCAAGCACACCTATTGCCCTGCCAGCCAGATGCAGAGGAACACAAACAGCTGGTGTACATCCCGTTTGAGCTGCTCACCCATTTGGTTAATTGCAGCAACCCCCTAGGAGGTGGGTCAGGGGAAGGTCCTGAAGTTTTTCCTCCCATCCATGGTCCTCAACTCACTGTGTTTCCTCCTCTGTCCCCTTGCTCTTCACCCAGCTCTTCTCCAGAAGCTCTGCTCCCAGCCCTGGAGGCCAGTTGGAGCTCCTAGAACTTTCCCCACCACTTCATATGATTTCCCATCATATCCCACCAGACCTCACCCAGGACCCGTATCCCCATTGACTCCTGAGGAAGAGCCCAGCTGAAGAAGCTCCCAGGTCCTTACTGTCTCTGTACAGCTGCAGCTCGCTGGATGTGGCCCACTCGGACAGCTCACCTCTGGCCACCACTCTCACCCTTGCCCAGTAGATACTGTGGATTGCATCAAAACAGAGCTCACATGCCGAGGAGGAGCTGGTGCTGTTCCCCCAGCAGCCATCTGCCTTGGTCCAGTCAAAGGTTCTGTTCCTGGAGAAAATGGAGGGATTTCTCCTTTTCAGCACCTTCCTAGCTAAAATGAAAGACTGCCCAGACATGGCCACCCTGTCTGAGTGGAAAGCATGAGAGAGCAGAGATACTGGCCAGCAGTGCCCTGTGGTGCCAGCAAGTCTGCCCTGGTGGGACAGCTCCGGGAGTGCTGTGCCCTGACCTGTGCTCTCCACTACAAGAGAGAACATCTCCACACTAGATAAAGCCCCCTCGGGCCAAAAGGTGGCCAAGGGGTTGAGGCACCTGTGGCAGGAGGGAGGCTGAACCAGCAGGGGACTTGCTTAGCCTCAGAAGAAGGTGGCTTGGGGTGGGGGGGCTGTATCACAGAACGGCTTGAGGCAGAAAGAATCCGCCTAGTCCAACCCCCCTACAACAAGCAGGGACATCTTCAGCTAGATCAGATTGCAGTAAAGAAGATGGAAAATTCTCAGCTGTGCCTAATGAAAGGACAAAAGATGGTCAAAACATGACACGGTTCTCGGCTGTCTCTGCCTCAAACAGGGGTGTGAGGAGCTGGTTTCTGGAGCTCCTGCTGTCCTCTGACTACCGGGGGTCCGTGGCAGCTCCCTGCCGGGATGCTGGGGCTCGACGACCCTCCGCCCCCTCCTCTGATCCCACTCACCTCCACTGCACCTGGTACGTGGTACCGTCGGGCCAGCTGGGGTCTGGCTCCCACCGCAGGCGGACATGGAAGTTTTGTGCCTCCAGCCTCACGTCCTGCGGAGGCAACAGCTTTCCTGGGAAGGGGAAGCAGGAGGCTCTGCATGGGCCCGCTCCTTGGCCAGTCACCACTTGGTCACACTGCACGAGCCTCCCCCCACCGTACCACCCCCAGCTTCAGACCCACATAGGCAAACACAGACTCCCTGACAGCCCTGCGCTCAGCATCCGCATTCCATGAATCTCTCGCACCCCCTGGAGCATCCAATCTGCCGTCCCGGAAAAGGCACCAACACCCTGAGGCATTCGCTGGAGACTCCGGGGATTTCTTTCCTTCCCCACCTTGGAGGC